GATTACCTGAAATTTCTGATCATTTTTGGATTTCTCAAGTAATCGGTGCTAATCCCAGAATGGGGTTTTTCCTGATGTCACCTAGCCTCGGTCAGGTTCAGGCTTATCACCAGGAGCAACCATTGCAAAATACAAATAATGGTCTGCCGCCCGTCCACACAGATGACCTGGAGCTTGAATTGACTCCGCTTCTACCTCTTTGTCATAATCACCACTCAATCGATTTGACAACCTGCTGTTCTCACCCAGCCTCGCCCCACTGCCTCCCATTCCTCTTTATGAGCCTCTTTTCTGCCTCCGCTGTTGACACCCACTTACCTTCGTGAGTTTTGTTCTCTCCAAGGAGAACAGAAGTCCTAACAACATCGATATCTCTAAACTCCCCATTGCCTACAGTTCCACTTTGTGACTACCTTTACCATATTCCCGGTCGTTCTCCCTAGACACCGAGACAAAACTTCAGGCAGCAACAATGATAACGGCAACATGGCAATATAAGACATCCGCATTCAAAATACAATGATTCCAGGAAACGGAGATCTAGATTACGCTTCCTATGTTTCAGTCCGATTTAGCTGATCTTATTGGCGACAGGTTCTTCAGGAAAACAACAGGTAGTCTTTGTTATCCCTTTGGGAGGTCAGGGTGAGGTTAACAGGATATATCTGGAATACAGTAGATGGTAATAAAGATGGAGGAGAGGGTGCCGGAATGGATGGCACGGGAAATACGCCTTTCTACACCAAGGATCTGGGGTGTTGATGGGAGACCCCCACCGCAAGCTTGGCAAGTACGAGGCCTTTGCCATACAACAGGCGATACAGGGAAGTTAGAAGCTTCTGATCCAAACAGGACCACACCACTGGTGGCAATGATGATTGGTAATCAAGGTCTTGACAAACAAGACCCCATCGGTGACCGACCGAGGCAAAAACTTGCGTGTAAAGACGATTCCTCCTTTCAGTCGGCCTCGTAACTCTAAGTTGAATGCGGAGAATTTTAGAAAACAGGAATTACGTAGGTTGTAGGTATATAATGAAAAACTCGACTGAAGGGGCGTAAGAATCCAAGTATAGTCGAGGTTAGTTAGGTCGGTACTTAGAGGTAGTTTACTCATTTAAACCATTAACTTGTTTCGTAATATTCCGACACATAAATCCCTTCAAGCCGATAAGCATATTAGAGGTACTATAAGTACTGTGCGGCGATTATAATTTTCCATTTCTTACCTTCCGATAAGTAGATCCTCATGGGGCTGGTGTATCTATTCGATTTTATTCTAACCTCTCCTAATGCTTTACGTAGAATGATCGACAAGGTCATGCCTATAATTTTATCTCCAAGTTTTGGTCGACGTACTTGTTTCACGAAGTAAATTTGCGCGATACTTCTGGTTAGGAAGGTGTTCGAACGGTCCAGGTGATGCGATACCCGATGTCAAGCGGTCGAATGTCGCCCGCAGAACTTCATTAAAGTTCATTACCGAGCCGACTTCGGACCACATGGTGAGATCGTCGGAGTAGTTGCTCAGATGCAACTGTTTGGACACATCACGATTCACGACCGAGGTTTTAAGGGCTTGCGTTAGGTGATACACAAACGTATGGTCATGATACTACAGCATAAAATCAGCACCATTGTTAGTGCCAAGCATAAAGCTAACCAGACACTTCCTCTGAACCCTCCTCATCTGTCATGTCAACCCCAACAAATAATCAGCCTACCAATCAATCTCCATCCTCGAAGATTGAGGAACTTGGAGTTCCTTACAATGCTTGGCATTTAGCTCGAATTTGCCAAAAGGGACCAAGCTCTTCCCAGGCCACCAAGCCTGATCCACCGGGTAATCCACAGGAGGACAGCCTGAGAAACCCCCTACTAATGTCGGATCTGGCGACGTTTCCTCTACGTCCTCGCGTCCTTCCTTCGTCAATTTAACTTATCGCTATGACAAAAAGCAGCAGGGAAAGAGCGTTGATGTTTATGTCTTTGGTGAGTTTTGATACGTCCGGAGAGCTTATTGAAAGACTTGTTTACTCAAACTTCGACTGTAGATTCCGGTAAGATACCCTCACGTTACACAGAAAATTATTTTTACTGATGCACGCAAAATGCACGAAAGGAATTAAGCAGATTGTATGTGGATCGTGCCACCTGTCTCTCCCTACTCATTTTCTGTTTCTTTGACATCTCTATATTCATGAATCTTCTGCTATACAAAGCCTGAATTTGAAGCACGCCTGCAAGAGTCTGTTATCAATGGCTTTAAAGATAGCAGAATCTCAGAGGTTCAAAAAGATGAGTTAAAGTTCCTCGATAACGCTCAAAAGGTAAAACAAAAAATCATATCGAATGGTAATATACACTGTCTAATTTTCTTTTGCACAGAACGACGACTTTAAAGGACACGGTACCCATGTTGCGTATGTGTCGAATTAAGCATCCCACTTCATTTTTATTACATTATGGATTGACATATACCCATTGAATTCCTTTAGATCTGTTCTTGCCGGAAAGGAGTATGGTGTCGCCAAGAAGGCTACTTTGTTCTCTGTCAAGGTCCTAGATGAAAAAAGGTTTGTTTCTTATCAAATCTAATCCGATGAGAGACGCTGACTATTCTTCTGCTTTGACTGCACACAGTAAGGGCAATCCTATTTCAATGTAAGCAAATGAAAAAGTTTTGATTCCCATTCATGAAAAGTCGACAATCTGATTTACGCATAAGCTCACATGGCATCAAAGAAGTCTTGAACAAAGTCAGAGCGAGCAATCCCAGAAAGCAGACTGTGATTAATTTCTCGATTGGTGGTGTTTTCGAAGACAGATGGGTAGATGTCACTCTTGGTTTCGCTGAGGTATGTTCACTCGAGTTCGCTAAGGGCGTTTTTTTGCGCGGCTAAAGGACTTTCCAATCATACTATCAGCTTATCAAAGGTAACGTTCCAAATGTCCACAACCATAGAGCTTGGATGTATCTGAACCATGTCCTGGTCATTCCTAGAGGGCGTACACGTTGTGGCGAGTGCCGGAAACGCTATAACCACTGCTGGACGGCTCTGCACCCCAACAGCAGATGTTTTAGCAAAAGTCCCTGGTATTGAGAAGAAACTTGACTTTCTCAACTCAAACGGCAAACTAGATGAGAAAATCAAACAAATCCTCGATTTCTTGCAGGATATCATCATTGTTGGAGCTACAGACATACAAGACAAGCTTGCGACTATCACGGCTTGCGGACCGAGGGTAGATATTCTTGCTCCTGGTCAAAATGTTTATGGATATCCTATAGCCGGTGTGAGCGTTCACTGAGAAGTGAGAGTGGGTCGATCATTATCTCTGGGTTAACAAATTCTCTTGTTCATAGGAAGATAAGTCTCCTGCTATAGGAACCTCTGAGGTGTGTCAATTTTTTTTATTTCTTCTGCGTGTCTAGCGCTCCTTTTATTCGAACTACTTTTCCAGTCTTGCGCTATTGTTGCTGGGTTATTGGCTTGTCATATTTCTGGAATCGTAGCCCAAAAGGCAGAAAAAAATATTTCTGAGGATGAGGCTCACAAACTACTGGTCCCTAAGGAATGTAAAGCCGCGTTGTTGGCAAATGCAGTAGAGGCAGGTAAGGTATCGGAATTGTATCTTTCATAATACACACAAATATTTGATCATACGTTGTACAGCAATCATTTCGACTGGCAAGAGCGCTAGCACTAGTAGTGCTGACACGGATCTAGAAACAGAATCTGAGGACGGTAAGTTATTTGGAGGCAGCAAAAACAAAAAGACAGTGAATGAGACTGATTTTTCTTTTCATTGAATTCCACTCAGGGGATCGACCTGAGTTGACGCTTGGGGAAAAGGACAAGCTGAGACAACAGAGTAAGGGATTCCCATCTCTCAAATTCTATGCTTCTCTGACTGAACCGACATTAGCAACTAGACTTATCGCTACCAACGGGATTTGGAAGGTCCAGTAAAGAGCTTGATTATTTAGCCGTTTCCTCACGGAAGAATAGAGGATTTCTCTTTCAAATTGAACATGACTGCATTCAACTGCATTCCATTATGTCGCACTGTGTATGTTTTGATTTAAGCAGAAACATTGTATGTACGATCAGAATTTCTTTGAATATACCGCATCTGCTGCGATACTCCATGATGAAAGGAAGTGGAGTTAGAGAAAGACCAAGTGGAAGCTAATAAAAATTGAAATCAGTAATAGCATGTATAGGCAGTGGGCCGAGGATATTTACATAAGACACCCCACTTGAAGATTTTCGGAGCCACACCTAAATATACTCATGGTCACCAAAAGTTTTGCTCCCATGTATTTTCAAACATATGTATCTCATGAACCAATCCATATTTTTGCCTGAAACAAGTTGTAAGATCAATCTATAGGTTATTTAGGAGAATTTGAGCCAAAAGAATAGATCATATCTGCAACGCGGATTTTTGATCGTTGTTTTTCATTGAGCAACGATATAGATTTATCTAGGCCCCACCCGAAAATCTTTAAGTGGGGCTGATTGGTTGACCAAACGCCATGGTCTTGATTTATCAACTTGAAAAAAAAACACATTCTCTTAAAATTACTTGTGATGAAAGGAACTGATTTAGGAGGGTCCTGATTTTGGGCCCACATTTCTAGTTGTAGTCACAGATCAATCTATAGATTATTTCTTGTTTGAGTCAAAAATATTAGTTAGTTTATGAGGTATGTTTGAAAATATAGAGGACCAAAACTTTTGGTGACCATGAGTATATGATTTGTTCCTTACTAAATAAAAACACTAATATATATCGCAGCAGATGCGGTCTAATGACCGCGGTGGAGATGAATAACTAAAGCAGACTTATGCAGGTACCAATATTCATTCAGCGAGTATCATGGGTATGAGTTTGTGGATGTGTATGTACCGGGGCCATTTCTGTATCAAAAGTATTGGAATTCTTTCTAGCGATCCGGGGAAAATTAAGTAAAAAAGAAAGCATAGCTTTATGGGCCTGACCGGGAATTGAACCCGGGACCTCCTCGATTAGATCACATGCAAACAAGGCCCTAACAAGGAATCATACTACTAGACCATCAGGCCGTTAGTGTGTCGTTGCCCTGAAGGCACAGGTGATGAGTGCGAAAGGGTAAATTGATGCTGTACATTCCGAACGTCAACAGCTGCGATCAGCTGTTGGACATCTGAAACGGAACCAGAAGTTTACGAAGTTCCCCTGTCTCCGACCACGTGCTCGGAGCCATGAAGATACCGCTGCCAACTCGTTTTTTAAGTTTTGCTCCCGTTCCCTTTTGATCCCATCCATTCCACCCTTAGCGCCAAGAAATGCTGCGTCCAACAGTGAAAGCGCGTTTTCGCAACATCCTCTTCCTGTTGGTCGTCGGTGGTTTTCTTCTCGTGTGGTCTTCCAAACGGAAACACGCTTATGACTTTTATGACGATTCGTTCGAACCAGAACAAGGCCTAAACGAACAACAACAAATACACGACTCGCCAGCACATCCCGTTCATCCTCCTCCTCCTCCGCTTCCTCTTCCCCTTATCCCTGCGGCCGACACCTCAAACGCTCCAAACTCAGAGGTCCTCGGTTTGACACCAGACCCAGACCCCGAAGAACAGAAATACGGACATTACTGTCCCCCTCTCAAATGCGCTCAAGGTCACTGGATTCCTCGCGTACCCCAATTCACCACTTACGAAGAAGCTCACAAAGCGATCATCTACAACCCCAATGATCCTGGATACAGTTTACCCGATCCACGTCCTGTCATCAAGAAAGTCGTCGATGACCAAGGCAAGGTGACGACGACAGTAGTGAAGGCGGAGGAGGAGATGACGGAAGAGGAAAAGGAGGAGAACGGGAAAGAGCGGGTGTTGGAGATGTCGAATTGGGTGTGGAAATCGGATTTTGGGGATATGGTGCCGTTTGATACGGAGGAGTTTGTGATTAGGTTGTTGAGGAGTCCGGGGGGTCTGTTTCTTATCGGTGGTGAGTTTACCTTTCCTCTTCCCGCTTTTTTTTTCTTTTCGCGTCTTGTTCTAATCATTTCCTATCACAAACTCGAAATACAGACTCCCTAACAACCCAACACTTCATGACCCTCCGCTACCGTCTCCTCCAATCCTCTTTCTTCCTACACGAAGACCTCCCCCACTGGCCTCTCCACTCCCATCCCCACGTGCACCAATACGGTCTAGACACCAACCACCCAAACACACACGCTCTCCTCTCCCGCACAAACCCACCGATACCTCTCTCTCGAGCTCAAAGACCGATCATCACGCATATAGTCGATCAAACGCTCGTGGGACCGAGAGAGTTGAATAGGTTTTTTAGAACGGATCCGGGGTATGTGCATGGGCATAAGTATACGAATGTGGAGGGTTGGATTGGGTTTTTGGAGGAGATGACGAGGCCTAGGGTTAGGGAAGGGGAGGAGGAAGGTGTGAATGAGGATAGTTTGGTGGTGATTACTAGTGGAGCCCATGTGCGTTGTTCTTTACCTTGTTGAATGTCTCGTACTCATACCAACCGTCTCTTTCATTTCATTTCTTTTTCTCAGTGGTCCAGAGCCGGTCTACACGGCTACTCCCCCACGCACCTCCCCCCCTCCACCTCACGCGCCCGAATCGAGCACGCCTACACCCAAATGGTCAAACTCATCGTTCCCTCTCTCTCCCCTCTCCCCCGAACCACGATCTTCTTCCGAACGATATCACCGGGTCATCCTTCCTGCACTCAGCTTCGCCGACCCTTCACCTCGATGCGAGGCGAGGTGAGAGGGAAGGAGGGGGAGGGAGAGGAGGGAGGAGGGGTAGAAGAGTATTTCAGGAAAGAGGAGAATAGGAATCCAGATGTGGTGGAATGGGATTGGGATGGGTTTGTGGGTAGGAATGGGGTTTGGGAGAGGGAGATTGAGGGGTATGAGAGGGAGAGGGGGTCGGAGCTTTGGGGTGAGACGAAGCAAGGTGAGGAAGTAGATGAAGGGAGAGGTGGGAGAGGAGCCAAGTGGGTTTATTTGGATTTTTGGGAGATGGATTTGCAGAGAGGAGATGCGCATACGTTGACTGGAGTTGGGAAGGGGAGGTGGGATTGTTTGCATTGTGAGTCTCTGTTGGGATTTCCTTTCCTTGCTATCCTGTTCTTACTGTCATACTCACTTATCCTTTCTCCCTCTCTTTCCATTTCATTTCTCTTTTTTGGGGGGGGGACAGACGCTATGCCATACCTACATAACCAATGGACGGATTCGATATGGCATTATTTAGCTGTCGATGGGAGGATTGAGAAAGAGAAGCAGAAGCTGGAGCAAGAGCGGATACAAAAGGCGGAAGAGGAGGAGGAAAGGAGAGAAAGGAGAGAAAGGAGAGTGGGGATGGTCGAGCTGCATGAGGAGTGAACCGTTGACTCCGTCGTAAAGGAGAATGAGTGGGGGAGTGAGTGGGATAAAACATATAGAAGGGGGGTTAGAAGGCTAAGCAGATGTTGGATATAAAACAGCTGGTCCATGTTTTTTGTTTTTTCCCCTGCTCGGTCTATGGAGATTTTCTCGTTT